ACGTAAATCTATTCCATAAATTTCATAAGACCAATTTTTACTTTGTCCACAATAGCTAATTCATAACTACTTTTGCAAGAAATAGTACGCTTGATATTATTTATTGCAATATTATTCAGTAAAAATATTATTTATGGATAAAACCAAAAGAATTCTAGGACACATATCATTCTACATTTCTCTAATCTTCAGTATAGATTTAGAATTTTCTTCGCGATATCTGAACTGCTCAAAGATATGGTAGGAGACACTCTTGACGCAACATAAATTGAATATAAAATTTCGATAACCTACTCATAAAACATGTTATCCTAACTTTCTTTTAGAATTTAAACTACATAAATTAACTGAAACTCTAGATTAGCATAATAAAGTCTTTCTTGGGAAAATTGGTTTGTATTTGTGATAGACAAGGAATGAGGACAACAAAAACACTAATAAGTCAGTGTAGTCTTCAGCCTGGAATCGAACTACAAAGAGAACTCTCCGCAACTTTAGCTATTCGGCCGCTACATTTTACATTTCAAAGAGCTAAATCCGAATTTTATTTTACTTGATGAGCAAGAATGAATAGACATATTCAGTATAACATCAGAATGCTGTTAGTATGGCTTTAAAGATTTTTACAAAGTAGAAACATATTCTGTGATTGCATTTATGCTAAAAACACATTTCTTAGGAGTTATTATTCGTGTCCTACTCAAACACAAGGACGAATTCGTGTAAATTTAATAAAATTTATGTAAAAATTGTAACTAAGTATCAGGAATTAATATATATGGTTCTTATTTTTAGTATTGATTTCTACGAATAGATCTCATTTAGAATCATAATTATTACTAATCCTGTTATGTTCTCACTAAATCCAATTATAATCTGATTCGAATTGATGAAATACGTGATGAATGTAATATAAACTAAATTTACTGATTTTTCTGCTGTTTTGTGTGTGCTTTATTATTGCTTAGTTAATTTAGTTTGAATTTCTGCATTGTTTATCATGCCTTCATCCGTTAATCGTTTCACTAAATTACGCCTGAAACGGCAAAAATTACTGAATCATCATGACTTTTTACTTAAATATAAATGTAAAAAATTGATCCCCAATTTTATTAAAATCAAATCTAATCAAAAACCTTCGAGTCGCGTTTCAAGAATTCTGTTAAATTGCAAGCTTGTCTTACTTCAGTCCGTCATAAGGGATACACGTCAGAAATTGTCAAAAATTGAACATGAACTCTATAAGCTTCATTTGGAACTCGCTAAATCATATCCAAAATTCACTGTCCTTGAACAAAAGTCTTGGTCTAGAACGGAGAATGCAGTTAACCGTCATAAAAACACCCTTGCAGTTAAATTCGAAAAACTTCTTTTACAGTCTTCCAGTTCAAGTAGTTCAAAAAATCTTCCCATTGTAAACATCAAGCCAATAGTTAATATTTCTAATGTTAGGCTTTCAGAAGAACAAGAGAGAATTCTAAAATATAATTTTAACTTCTCACAAATCTGTAAATCCTCGATTCCAAAGCTTTTGGCTCCTATCGAAAAAGCTTTCAAGTTCAGTAAAGTTTCAGATTCACAGAAAGAAATGATTAGGCATCTTATCGCTCATAATGTGAAATTCAATAAGAAACCTTTGAAACCAAATCTAACTCCGAGAGAAAGAGCTACAATGCGCGAAATTCATTCTAACCCGGATATTATCATTTCAAAGGCCGACAAAGGTGGCCAGATAGTCGTCATGGATAAGAACACTTACATCGATGGTGTCACTAAACTCTTAAACGAAGGACCATATAATCCAATCCCTAAAGATCCTTCACCTTCCGACTTGTCAAAAATAAAAACTGTGATCAAATCTTCGGAAATCATTTCAAGTAACTTAAAACATTCGCTTATCCCACCTGTTGCGAACTGTGCGAGATTATATGCTCTTCCCAAAATTCATAAAAGTGGTATTCCTTTCCGCCCTATTGTATCAAATTTAGGTACTGCCTCGTATCCATTAGCTAAATATTTGGTTTCTAGATTTTCCACTCTCTTAGACAATAACATTTACACCATAAAAAATTCAATAGAGTTTGTAAAAAAGGTTAAAAACATTTCTTTTAGTAATTTACTCATGGTTTCTTTTGATGTAAAATCATTATTCACCAATGTCCCGGTAGAGGGTGCATTAAGATGTCTAGAAACCAGACTTCGCGAATTTCATTTCTCTTGCATCGAGATTGATGAGCTAATTTCTCTCACTCAACTCTGTTTGAAACAAACACATTTTGTTTTCCAAAATAAATATTACAAGCAAACTGAGGGATTAGCCATGCGAAGCCCCCTCAGTCCCATCCTGGCTGATATCTACATGCATTATTATGAATCAAAATTGTTTAAAACTTTAAACTTCCCGGCATGGTTCCGCTACTTAGACGATACTTTTACCCTGTTTGAAGGTAATAAAGGTGATTTAAATAAAGTTCTTTCAACAATGAATTCTATTGATCCTGCTATTCAGTTCACTTTTGAACTTGAGACTTGCAAATCTCTTCCGTTTCTAGACATTCTAGTCACACGTAACACATCCAACTTCAGTACTACGGTTTACCGTAAACCTTCATCGGTTTGCCTTCCACCACACTTTAAATCATGTCATCCGACTAAACAAAAGTTCGCTTCATTTCATGCCTATGTTTTCCGTGCTCTTCAAGTTTGCTCCTCCAAACTAGCCCTTGATGAAGAACTAAATTATTTAAAAGCAATAGCTATTGACACGGGCTTTTCACCCAACATTATTAATCAAGCAGTTAAAAAATTCTCATCTCAACACACTAAAAGGCACACTCTTGTTTTAGGAGATTATAAAAATTCTGTTGTCATTCCCTTCTTTCCATCAATTAGCTATAAAGTTGCACATATTTTGCAAAAATTTAACTTACGGGTTGTTTATTCTCCCATCAATAAAATTCAGAGTTCCATACTCAAGGACCCCATTCCGGATATGAATTCCTGGGGTATTTATAGGATCCCTTGCCAGTGTGTTTTAATTTACATTGGCCAAACTAAGAGAGCCTTAAAATGTCGCGTCAAGGAACATGAGGCATATGTTAGAAAAAAGGAAACACAGAAGTCTTCTGTTGCTCAACATTGTTGGTCCGAAAATCACACTTTCAATTTTTCTGCTGCCAAAATTATTCAAAAAACATCTTCCATTGGAGAACTGGATTTTCTAGAGGCATTTTGCATTCATAAAAATCTTTCTGTTCTAGTTAACGATCCTAATTCCAATCCAAATTTGCCTTCGGCCTTTAAAGAAATTATGTTTTAGTTTTGGTTTCACCAACAGATGGCGCCACTTGCTTATTCTTGTCCAGGCTTTCTTATCTTATCTAATCATTATTTTCTATCTTGAACATTTGCGGTTTTGCAGCTGAGGATGGTGGTTCGGTAAAACCATCGAAACTAGTCCTGTGAAAATTTTGTAAATTAATGCTGATTTATGTTGTTTGACTGCTGAATGAGTAAAGTTACTGAATTTAGAATTTTTCACATATAACGGGAAAAAATCAAATAATATGCAATATACTTAAGAAAACAAATTTTAAGTAAACCTAAAATGTAGGCACTCATTATTATGCATATGCACCATGTCAGCCAAATTCTTTACGCGACATTTTTTCTCTACCATTTAAACCTTTTTAACAATTCTCAACCATTTAAACCATTTAACCTTTTTAACATTTGTAAACTTATAAATTATTTGGGGGAAAAGGCGTTCAGGGTACCAAATGTCACACAATTACAAATTAAGCAATCATACACATCAGTAAATTATAAAGAAATACTATTAAATATGCTCCCACGTTACAAATAATTTTTGCAAACATGATCTATTTACATCAGTCTTGATTATCAGAATAAGTATAATAAGAAGTATAAAATTGTTTACAAAACTTACATTTAACTGTTGTATAGTCGTGCTGATACTTTATCAACTCAATTTTGATGATTCATTATGTGCTGTTAAGTATGTTTCATAACTGATTTGCAGAAATTACAGTATATCTACCAGTACATTGCTATTTACATGTAAAGATAAATCATAGTGGCTAGAAGCAATTTATTTCTTGTTTATAGATCATGTTTACAATCATGACCTTGTGACTTGTTTACATCAATATTTATAATCAGTCAAAAGTAAAAAAAAAAAAAAAAAAATGTAAGATAAGTCTGAAAGAAAATGAGCTTTATTTGGATACATACTTATCAGTTTTACGTTTTCTGCATACTTATGATTGTCAATTCCTTTTTGTCAGTTCATTATATTATATTTCGTGTGTTTTTATAATAATTTGTTTACAATAATTGCATTTAATGATACATTACATTTTTAATACTTTACCAGCTCAATTTTGACAATTTAGTGTATGTTTATTATTTTATTGTATCGCTTTTCAGGTTATCTTACCGTATGCATAGCATTAAATAAGAAACAAAAAGTGAAGTTTGATCTATTCTAATTTTTTTAACTGACTTTTAAAGAAAACTACGTTTGTGTTCTAGCGCTATAAAATCTATAAAAATCGCAGACTTTATAAATCTTTTTAATAGATCGGGCAACTTTTTGTCGTACGGGAGTTATCTGCTTTTTATAATGAGCAATACAGTTTATTAAATGTACTTCTAGGAAATTAAAACCATATAAAACTCTTAGATTCCGTAATTTTTACAAAACTGATTTTTAAAATTTAAAAATGATAAACCATGAATAATTGCTTCGTATAAAATATTTTTGTAAGGAAAGAACATTTCTATGACTAATAGTTGCGAAAATAAAAGTTACATAAAAATTGTTATGGACAAGTGTATGCGCACTTATTTCGAGAAATTGTGGAATTATGATATCATATCGAATTAAAGCTTAGCTGTTAAAGTTAGTATGGGGATTGTTAAATAGCTGTTAAAATAGCAAACTTTGCATACTAACTGAAAATGTATCTCATTTCTAGGCAATGATCTCAGATGCGATTGCAGAATGACTTGGATAATAACTAGGAGACTTCGTGGAAGTATACTAGGATACTGCGCTGAACCACCTGAACTGAAGGGAACGAATTTGACGAAGCTCAATGAGAAAGATCTGTGGTGTTAAGAATTTTAAAGGATTTATAATATTCTATACTGCAGTCCTTATTCAAAGAAAAAGCTAATGCTGCAATTTTTTTTTTTTTTTTTTTTAAATAGCTTCTTTATTCAGATATGGTGAAAAGCAACGAATAATAAATGCACTGAAGTAATTTTTCAAACATTAGTTTTTTGCATGAGAATTTTTCTTTTTTTTTCAAACAAAATAATTTCATAAATTATTCAAAATTTTTCAATATTTTATTTAACGTTTATAAAATGTTACTTTATAAGTATTATGAATTACTGCACGGTTATTACGTAGTAATATTAATATACAGTAATTTGCATGTTAAATGGAAAACGACGCCAGTAATATTAAAATTATTAAGTAATTAATAATTTCAGTTAAATATGACGAAGGACTATTTTTTGGCTTATGTAAATAAATAATACACAGAAACACGCATAAATACGTGCAGGTGAACACATTTGAATACTTCATATCCTGTAGCTGAAGTTCACTACATATTACGACTGAAATGTTTTTATCAATTGCGTAAATAAGTAGGAAAATAAATTAATGCAGCAGTTTATTAGATTTCATTTTTAAATAGTTATAAATAAGATTCATTTACATGTAGTATTGTCTAATATAACATTTAATACATGCAACAGTCTATATATTTAGCTTGCTATTACGACGAGTTTTCAGTTTGACTCATACTACATCTGAAACATTTTCTGCTTTGATTCAGTTCAGAAATTATCAATTGATTATTTCGCAAACTAAAACAAACATGCAAATTAAAATTTACTGTAAGTTTTGCAAAGGTTATAATTTAAAAGTAACTACAGTGAACACGTAGATAAGAACCTCTAAATGTAACCGGTATTTCTGAGAACACAGCTAAACATCGAAAAGGATAATTGTAGTTGTTTTTTCTGTAAGAAAACTACTTTTTAAACTGTCTTAGGCCAATAAATGTATTTATCCGCATCCACTCAGACGCCTTAATTTTTAAGACGCAAAGTCTAAAATATATCATAGTATTAAAATCGAACTCCACTGTAATGCAATATATGGGATCAAAAGTTTAGTTCGCTATATACAGCCGTTCATTATAGTCAATCAGATGAAAGAAAAGTGAATTATCCCCCAAAATATTATTAATTAATTGATTCATCAATTAATTGATTATTTAAAAAATTATGAAACGAATTGAAAATTAATTAATGTATCACTTAAAAAAAGCTTGCTTAGCAATTTCACATTTCCCTGAGAAATGAATAATAACTCTAATTTATTGAGATTGAGCAAGCAGTTAGATTAGTCTTATCGTATTTAAATAGCTCAATTTTTGTCCGTATATAACTATTGATAAACATGGCTGAATATAAAACAAAATATAAGCAGTATGGCGTAGTTTATTTTAAGTTCGGTTTCATGCCATCACTGTCGACTTGCCCAATGTGCCTTTTATGCAACAAAGTTTTAACCAAAGACTCACCATCCAAGCTGGAGGATCATCTGAAAAGGTGTCGCCCCGATAAAACAGTTAAATATCTGAAATACTTTAAAACAGAAAAAGAAAAACTTCAGTAGAGACTCACAGTCGACAGTTTGTTACGACTTCAAACAAAAGAAGATGATGGTTTTCAGGGTTTTCAGGCGTCTTACAATATGTTACTACTTATAGCGAAATAGGAAAGCCGCATATTTCGTAGAATAGCTAATTTTTCCAGCCATTCAAGAGGTTTTAAAAAATGTTCTATATAAACTGGCATATGAAGTACTAAAAAAATTCTTCTAGCAACAACGCAGTTCAAAGTCGTATTGATAAAATTTGTGATGATGTTGAAAGCTTCAACGAATTATCCGTAAACGACTCGTTTCTCCATGCAGTGGATGAATCAACTGAACCCGGTTATGAAGTATAATCATAGGCATATGTTAGTTGTACATAATCTAAGAATTCCACCAAGAACTTCTCTTTGTTAGAACTTTGACAACAGATACTAAAGGCAAATGTGGTTGCAGAAATTAATAAAAGTTTGTGAAGTCTAGTATTCTTGGCTAGTATGCATTGCTACTAGACTATTTTGAAAGTCTGTTAAGGACTTATCACTAAGGCTAGAAGATAAATACAGCAGGGAAAGGGTGTAAAAGACCCTTTTACTGAACTCAGTTATTTACCGACAGCACAGTGTTTCTGCTTATAAATCCACCATCCACTTGTGGTGATAAAACTAAAAATAATGATAAACTAAACAAAGTTTAAAGATAAACTAGAAGTTCAAGACTACACAAATTAATTTAACCTAGTAGGTTGACTCAAAAACCTACACCAGATATTAAACTTCGGAGGCAAGAAGGCGAAGCCGAGATTCAGAACTCAAACAGCTCGTAGAAACAACAATGTGAGCGCTCAATTGCGAAACACGCTCTGACTAACCATTCCGCTAGTTCAGTTTAAATACAGTCTCGTTCGCTCTATCTCATAAACATCCTGGCGAGGAAACACAAGAGAAATAGTTAAGAAGACAGAAAAGGTTAAGAAGTTAAAATAGCTATTAGTAAAAATAATATAAACGTCACAACGTTACGATTTCAAGAATCTTTAATACGTTTTTGAGGCGAAAATTTGTTATCTTACAACACTGACTGACATTCAAACACGCATGGTACTTACAACATAAAACAAAGACGCAATGGGTGAAAAATAATCTCAGTGTCAGTAAAAAGGATTTACTAAACATAAAATATCACTATGTTTAAAAGATGTTTAAAATATATCAGTACGAATGTCTAAATTTAATAGTAAAGATATGGAAATCGAAAATCCTGAAGGGTGAGAATGTAACCGGTATTTCTAATTTTTATATTGTAATACTGTACATAAGTTAAAAGTGGACACATTTAAATTCTGTACACAAGTTAAAACAGTTACGGTATAATACAGGAAAATAAAAATAGTTGATTTATTCACAAAGTTAAACTGTTTTAGAAATCAAAGAACAAAACCAGGCAGAAAAATTCTATAGTATCAATAGTAAATATTTATGAATTACTCAATAAAATGTATAATGTTGTAAGGTCATACTTAACATTACACCTAATACTTGTTTAAACTTCGCAGATTGTAAACAACGTCTATTCACACTATTTACAGTTTCAACTGAAAATTTAGCGGCCTAGGAATGTAGCGAGTTTTAAATATATGCCAGTGAATAATAAATTACATTCTTAGTACTTACCTTCTAAACATAGAAATAAGTAAAAGGCGGAAAATTCTTCGCAACCAAAAAAGCTGGTCAAGCTGTGAAAGATGCTTGATGTGGCTGGCGGATGTGGTAAATATGTCAATTTGATTTCTAATTTCGCTCGCTATTTTTAAGACTTCCCTAATTAAAATTCCGATGAAGTGAAAGAAGAAATAGAATTACAGGAGGGATTAAATAATTAACATAAAAATAATATAATTATTAAAAGAAATTTTACAATAAACTTATCAATTTAAAAATACAGAAACATCTCTTTTCCGTATTTTTAAATACTCGTCACTTATTTGAGAAAATTAAGCATAAAATAATTTCTGAAGAAATTTTATTTAATCTCATTATCATTTTTAGTTATTTTGTAATTTTAATAATGTAAACAAGCATAATACTAAACAAACAGATAGTTCGGGCATGTTTTATTCAGCATTTTTCTTTAAAAAAATGCAAGTGCATTGAGTAGCATAAATCCGCTACGGAAATATATAATTGGCACTATCGATAGTTGTTGTCTCTAAGACGGCCATTGCAAGAGAAGAGTGAAATTTTCCAGAGACGTGAAGGATCGTCTTAGAAAGGATTCGCTGTTTTTGTCATTGCAACCAAATTTCTATTCCCTGGAAGAGCTCCTATCCACCCCCAAGCATTAGTCTAATTGAAATGAATTACTTATCTAGCACCAGAAGATAAACATAAAACTGTTACGAAATTAAATGAAAATTCTTGATTTAAAGCAGCAGCATAAGTAAATGTGGTCTTTTCCACTGCTACTTAAATTTTCCATCTATTACTCTCTAAAATACGACATGCTGCTATAGAAACTAGCTAGAAGTAAAAATGGAAAAGGCAGACAACAAAAATGCTAATTATTTATTTAAATTTAAAACAAAAATACATATATGAGCGGAATAAATGCTACTACTAGCGAAGAATGATCCGCACTTTATCTTGAAATGATCTGAGTGTACTTTTTATCCAGAGAACGATTCTCGAGTACTATTCTTGAGAAACTCTTCCCTTTCATACCACAAACCCACAGACAAACCTTGCATCTTGGAATGCCCTTTGTTTTTGCAGCAATGCACAAAAACAAAGGGCTTTTGTTAAGCCTCATTGGGAATGACGCTTTACTCCAGTTGAACGGGTTCGTCTATCGCTCAGCAGCGCTCTGTACAATCATGATAGAGCGCTGCTGAGCAGATTTCTGCATATACAACTCATTACAAAATGGAATTATTTCGGTTCCCTGTACCAGGCCTTTAGCCATATATTTTGAGGTCTTCCTATATGTTGTGTCTACGACAATACGAACCATGTTAAATTTATTTGACAAATAAGCTGAAAATTAAAAACGAATAATAAAATACAAATGTTATATTAAATTTCTGCCTTTAAAATATGAAAGCGTCTACAACTTCGCTTTTGCTTCTTTTCTCGGGGGAAATTACACCTGTTCCCTTTTTTATCACATTTATTTCGTAATATCTCTTTCTTTGTACTTATGATTTTTCCTAAACATGTGTTATTCGTGTTCGCTTTCAAAGTTGTTTGCATTACATTATCTTCTGTTGCTTCAGTTCTGTACTGTAAGAAAACTGAAATAGGATTGAAACAGTAAACTTTCATGTTTTTGTTTCGAATCTGCTCACTAGCAAAGAATCTATAACTGGTAACTCTAGAACTGACAGCAGAGAGGATTTAATTAATATTTTTAGCTTTCAAAGGTTTTAAAAATTATATTAATCCATTTCAAGGCCTGAAAGCTAATTTCTCGGTATACTTTTATGTGAAATCTGAATAACTAGAAATTTTAAAAAATTCAAAAATTTCCTTTTTCTCTCTTTTCAATGGATATAGATGTAGCTCCACTAGAAATAAAGAATGCTACAGTGAAACTGCTAACTAACGAATTCTTGTGAGTTGTCTACGTAGATCTATAATTAAAGGAAAACTGAAATTATTAAAGAGTCACTTACTTTAATTTAAAGAAATATTATAACACTTGAAAAAGGAATACAGTTCATGTGATCAATAAAAAAGTGAATGATAAGAATTAGCAGTTAAAATTGACGTTAGAGTTGGAAGAAACATAATAATGAAGAACCCATCATTATTTATGAACCACCACTATTTAGGAGCCAACATATTTATTCTAACCAGTTAATGTATTTAAAAATGATTATATATTTATATATAATCATTTGTAATATCTGTAGTAATATTCGGTATCTGTACATTTGCATTAGAAAGGTTTGCATCAATATATTTAGGCGTAGACACATGTATTTATGCACCAACTTATAGTGTATGTGATAGAAATTTACCACTATGAAGAATTCCTTTATTTGTATGAATGATTGATCGGCTTGCACACAGTGATGATGCTTCACAGTCAGCACACTGTTCCCATTCTCCCTGCAAAATGTTCCACTTTCTACTTTTTTAAATTCCATCCCTAGCTTTCCTTGCAAGGATAGACTTTGGGGAGCTTGATCTAAGGCGCTAAGAAATAATTTATAGTCGTCGAAGGGACTTAAACAGGGCGACAAGCACCTTTCCTAAGCGGATTGGCCTTCCGCCAGAGTAGAAAAGAAAAAAAAAAAAAAAGAAAAAAAAAAAGCTCTTGGAAAGCATTTTCTTGTTCTACTCTCCCCTTTCACACTGCTTTCTTCTCGGTTAAACCAGTCAGAGGTTTGGCTACTTTACAGAAATTTGTAAAGTCCCA